TTTTTTTTTTTTTTTTTTTTTTTTTAATAGCACTGGGGATTAAACTCAGGACCTTGCACTTTTGAGGCAGGTATAGAACCACTGAACTAAACCCTGGGCCCTCTAGGGTCAGTCTTGTGTCCACAGAGCCGAGCCTGAAGACTGCCACATTGAGGTCTGTAGCATTTCTTCAGTGAACAAATGATTTTCCTCAAGAAACAACACTGGGTTCAGGAAGAAATTTCAACATTTAAAATTAATGTGTAGGGCTGGAGATTTAGCTCAATGGTTCTGCCTCCTGCTTTGCAAACTCAAGGTCCCAAGTTCGATCTCTAGTAACCCCCCCAAATTAATGTGTGGCCAGGGATTTAGCTTAATGGTTCCACCACCTGCTTTACAAGCACAAGGTCTCATGTTTGATCCCCAGTACCAAAAAAAAAAATTAATGTGTAAGGGCCTGCGGTTAGCTCAGTGATGCCGCGCCTGTGCCCCTGTGTCACAAAGTGCAAGGTCCTGAGTTTGTTTTCTTTTGGTACCGGAGATCGAAGTCAGGTCCTTGTGCTTGCAAGGCAGGCGGCAGAACCGCTGAGCTAAATCCCCGGCCCAAGGTTCTGAGTTTGATCCCTGATACCGGAAAAACAATAAAATGACTTGTGGGGCTGGGGATTTAGCTCATCTCATGATGCCTGCCTCACAAGTTCAAGGTCCTGAGTTCGATCTCTGGTACAAAAAAAATTAACGTGTAAGGTGAATGGACTGGAAATTAAATGGGGGAAGAGTCCATATAACAGAATATTACTGAGCCATGAAAAGGAAATTCTGGTATGGAGAAGCCTGGAGGATGTGATGCTGAGTGAAATGGTCACAAAAACATCCGCTGTACAGTTCCACTCCCGTGGGATGTTTAGTGGGCCCATAGGGGTGGCTGCAGCAGGGGGAGAACAGCCTGGAGATCCTCAGTGGCCGAGGCTGCACAGTGTACATAGTCAACACGACATAGCGGAAACGATGAAAATGGTAAATTCTGTGTATTTTGCAACAATCAAAATAATAACAATTGTGGGTAATTGGGAGAATGTGCTCTCTCTAAATTCAGAGCAGGCAAGGTCCAGAATAGTTCAAAGGGTGCGAAGAGTGCTCCCAGGTTGTGAGGCGCTGCAGTCTGCTTCCGGAGGTGGTTTTTAGGTTCCTTCTGTCCCAAGCAAAGAATTGGTCAAGACGAGCCCAAAAGGCAGCAAAGTTTCACATGAAAGGAAGAGAAACAGGCTCCGTATGAGTGCGGGAGAAAACGCAGTGTCCCCAGGCTCTAGAACACTGTCCTTTCTAGGTCTCTCACTCCTCAGGCCTGGGCCGGGGAAAACCTTTAGCAAGAAGCCAAGCGCAGGGCCTTGGGGATGTTCTACGCATGCGTCCTGGGTTTGTACTCCTTCCCCACCAGTTTTGCCACACCCTAGTCTCCTGCCTCAACAGCTCTGGAAAGGTGCACACGGGTTAGGCAGAAGCTCTTTGTCCCAGCTGGAAGACCTTGGTGGAGGCGCGGCCCTGGAAGAGAGGACGTAGTAGGGAGAATGGTAACTTGCTTAGGGAAATTGGGCTTTTTTTTCTTTTCTTCCAGGTGTTGGGGATTGAACCCAGGCCCTTTGCACTGAGTTACATCTGTCCTGCTTCTCAATGTTTTTGGTTTTTGTTTTTGAGGCAGAGTTTCACTATGTAGTTAAGGGTGGTCTTTAACCCCCAATATGGCTCCTGGCTGGCCTCGAACTCTCAGCAACCCTCCTGCCTCGGCCTTCCAAATGCAGGCGTGTGCCACCACGCCCAGTGTTTTTATTTTGAGACAGGGTCTCACCAAGTCGCAGAGTTGTTTAGGCTGGGCTCGAATTTGAAATCTTCCTGCCTCAGTCTCCCAGGGTGAGATTACAGCAGGCGTGTTGGTTATGGTTAGTGTTGGGACCCCCTAATGACACCACAGTGTCTGGACTCCCCCGCGCTCTCCATGCCCAGCCAGCAAGGCAACGGATTCCACTGGCGTCTCAGGATGACAGGGTGGCGACACCAGCAGGACCGGACCGGGGGCGCCATCCTTCCTACCCACACGGCCTCCTGTGGGTCTAGCTGCCCTGGGCCAGGATCCGCCAAGCTCCTGGCCCCCCCACCCTGGCCCCGCCCCTCAATCAGGGCCCGCCCCCTAAGGAACCGCCCCGC